GTTCTCTCCTGTATGTTGCCACACAAGATTCACAACTTGACGTTGACTGACACCTTGGGGCATAAGAAAGGAATGTCAGATTTTGGATTTCATATCTGAGGAGTAATAAATTCAGAAACTTTGAATGATTATTTCTATTTCCAAATTATATTTTTTCAATGTTAAATTTAATGTACAATTTCTGGCATCAAATGTTTATACTCTGTAACATACAAAGTTTGGTTATACCCTGGCAGTTTATTTTTCCTATACTTGGCCTCTCTGGCCCTCAGAGTTAGAAACCTCTGCCCTGAAAGCAGCCACATGTTTCCTCAAGGCACTTGTGAACCAGGGAATCAGCTGCAGAAATGAAATGTTTGGATGCTTAGTGCAGCCGTGTCCCCAAGGATGTCAGACCTGCCACTGGGATCTGGGCAGAGCTGAGGTGGCATATAGTCAGTACTGCCTCTGGGCTTCTTTTTTGATGCTTCCATTTTGAATTTACACATTTCTTGCTAAATTTCAGCATTGTTGGTCAGTGTACAGAGAGCTGTGGCTGGCCCCTGAGCAATTCTGCCTCTTCCAGGCAGGGGTGGGCATCTCCCTGGCATCTGGGCCACCCCAAGGGGATGCAGGATGGGGTGTCAATATGTGGAAGAGCATTTTTCCAGGAAGAAGGCCCAAACTGCCATCAGAGTCTTAAAGAGATTGGTGACCCAAAAGATGTTTTTCCATTGTAAAACTGGGACAGGACTGCTCACTCTTGCAGAAACTGTGTCTTAAAAAATTAGTCTAATTTTGAAAGTGATTTATACTCATTGTAGACCATTTGGAAACTATAAAGCAATAGAGGGAAAACCTATAATCTCAACAACCAGAGGTAAACCCTATAAATATCTGGGCATGTTTTCTTTCTGTCTATTTTCTATGCATTATTTTATGTGGTTGAGTGCGTTATATATGGCCCATTGGTATTCCGCTCCCCTCACCCCTACCCCCCAATTAACAGTAAATCCTAACATCTCCTGGGTGACTGCTTTGGTATCACAGGAGCCATAGGGTTGATTTCCGGGTGTGAGATCCCTCTTGTGTTCTGCTGGGCTCTGAGAAGGCCAGAGAAAATCCCTGCTGTCCCGGGAAGGAGAGACAGCTGGGATCTGCTGACCGTCAGGACAGCCTCCCTGCAGAGGTCCTGGGACCCTGCTGAGTGTGAAGAGGCCCAGCTGGAAGAGCCACAGGAGAGCAAAGTGGAGTGTTGGGTGGCTTTAGGATGGGGCCGGATTCTAAATCCATGGCTCTGGTCTTGGCTGATGGGCCCCTCGGGTGCTCCCTGAAAGCTTTCCATTTCCCACGTAGCCTTATGCACATGATCCCCCGTTCTTCCCACAGGCCAGGTCAGATCAGCCACTCTGCGCATTCTCACTTGGTAACTTCACCTCAGAAATAATAGCCATTTGAGAAGACGCCCACCCTTCCCTTCCCACTGACACATGCCTGGGTCTGGATCAGCCTCCGCCCTTCCTGTCCTAAGGCCCCTTGCCCCTGCCCCGGGCAGGTTCCTGCCCCTGTGCTCCATCTCTCTCCTGCCTCTTCAGGGCTTGCCTCTGACCTCTGTCTTCCAGGACTTTGGGGATTTTTATTTGTGCCCGTTCCTTCCACCAGTAAGTATTTAAACATGCCCCTGTCTCTGGTATATACCTTTTAATACATAATTAAAACAACGTTTTAAAATGAGGACATTCACTAGTTCAAAATTCAACCAGGTACATATTGAATCCCTACACACCCAGCTCCTTTGTATGGAAGTAACCGGTATTATTGGTTCTTGTGTTCTGTGTGCATGGACAGCAGTGATGTTTACATTCTTTTCCCACCTATTGTTTATACATTCCCCTGTACCTTGCTTTTTTCATTTAAAGCATCTTAAGGATCATCCCATATCAATAGCAAAGGCAGCTTTGTTTTTACAGTTTTAGTGTTGTATGGATGTGCAAGAATCTCTTTAACCAGTGTATTAGATTAGCTCCTGTAATAGATGGACCCTGAATTCTTCGTAGTCCAGTAGAATAAACGTTTACTTCTCACTCATGCCACAGTAGGCAGTGGGTGTTCCTGGTCAGCATCCCACCTAACTGTTTGTATCCAGAATGTTGTATCCTTCTCAGTGCATCATACCTGGAGGCACATGATGTCTGTTTGCCCCATTCCTGGTGATGCTGACTTTGATCATTTGGTTAAGATCACATCTATCACGTTTTTTCAGTATAAAATTACTTGCTTTTAAGTATCTTACAGAAAAGAACTTTGAGACTTTCTAAATATCCTGTTTTTATCCCATTTTCCCCACTAATTTTAGCATTTATTGCAGATTTTTTGCCTGAAACAATTACTGGGATATTTGCCAAGTGGTGGTTTTCAATTTTCCTCATTCTACATTTATTGGTTGAAATTCTACTATGAGGGAACATTTCCCTTCACCCTCATTTATTTATTTCTTCACTCATTCAAGTATGTATATGTAAGACCAGGGAAAGGAAATCCTGGGGCAAAATACCTCTAAATACTGAAATCAGTCAAAGGGATAAATAAGGTTTAAAATCCATTTATTGCTTACAAACTGCAGTCTGGGGCCGTTCCTCTCTTTCCTCCTCGAGCAGAGGCGAAACCGGCCCTCCCCTCCCCTCTCAGGTACAGATAAGCCCTCCATTGCCAAGGTAATTACCCATTGATATGGAGATGAACTTCTCTCCACGCCTGAGGAATGATGCAAATGCACTGAGGCCATACTTCTCTCCACCCCTGAGCTCCTGTTGATATGCAGATGTACTAAAGCCAGGTGAGATATTCTGGAAATATTACATTTTTACCCACAGTATATTGCTTCATACTCACAGGTTCTTATTTCATTCTATAGGTTCTTTTCTATGGGTTATAATCCATTGCTATATTATTTATTTTGTCTGTCAGATTATCCCCAGTTTGGCACAGGAGCCCATCAAGTTGTTTTCTGTGTCCATTAACATGTCCCCATATGTCCCTATTATTACTTGAGTCCTTTTTCACCTTCTGGCACCACAAGATGTTGGAGACTCATCTTGTACTTTCCCAGCCACAGCCCTGGAAATAGGCATTTCTCCAAGGAGTCTTGGCTCCTTTGACTGAAGAATGGCATTAAGACAGTGAGATCCGGTGGCCAGGAGGGGAGAGCTCAGCAGTACTGGGCACTGGGGTGCTCAGGCTCTATCTGTGGGGAGCGTATCCCAAGTTATTTCTGTATCTACATCTGTTTTGAAAACCGTAGCTCACACTGATGCCTCCAGTTCCAATCCAGCACCACAGTGTTTATTCTAGCCTACCCTCTTTCCTTATTTTTAACTCATTTTTCTGACAGAAATCTGGCTCTCATTAGTCACAATATATTTACTTAACTTGCTTAGTGCTAGAATACACATAAGTAGGTTCTGAATTTCAAACTCACACCTCTGTGGAAAATAAACCTACTGCTTCAAGTGCAATATTGTGCATTTTTTCCCTTAAATCTTTGAGTATGTAGACAAAATCCTCTTTCAAGTTACTCAGATGAGTGCCCTCTGGTATCCGTGTGCTGGTATGTCTCATTTGTAGTATGTTGGTTTCATTTGTTCTGGTTTATATTCCACTTTGGATTGTTCCCACTTCCCTCTTACCTAATTCCTTGTTCACTAGAACGTTTTTTTAACTATATGGAACATAGTAATGATTCTAAAAGTCAGAACTGTACAGATGCACTCAGAGGAGTGTCCCTTCCCCTGGGCCTCCCGCCCGTGCGCCCCACCGGCCCTACTGCCAACTGATCTCACTAGCTTCTGGCTCAGCCTCGCTGTGGTTTCTTTTTGCACCTGTTTCCTTGTTCCCCTTCATTACGTGAAAGGTAGCCTAGATCACTTTTGCACTTT